AATTCTGATATGTTACTTGCCATATGTCATCCTATGTGGCAGAAAATGCTGGACATTCTTTTCAAAGCGCCTAGAAGCAACAGAAATGTGCTTCTACAGAAAGATGCCGAGGATACTTTGGATCAAACACGTGAGTGGAAACAAAAAGAAAGCATATTAACATAAGAAAAAGTGAGTTGAATTTTCTGTGGTACATACCGAGGAAGGAGCGCTTGGAAAATATGATACTTACGGGACAGTTTGAGGGAAAGATAGACAGCACGTAACGTACTTGATGACCTTGAGTAATTAGATGGTAGAAGAGGGTTTGTTTGAAATAGCAAAAACAAAAACGTTATTAAGAGCTACAAGTAACAGGAATATGTGGAGGGCCATAATCGGCTACGTCCTGAAGGGAAAATCTTTTAGAACCATTCGCTCCGAACGTTATAGATATGGCCCACCATCCACGTACACAGAATCGATTTACCCTCATTCTTAATTCAAACAGCTACTCTCTTAGATGTATAGATCTGTTTTTCGACAAGATGCTTCTCCGATCACAACGATAACAGATTCAAATTTATGGACAAACATTACATCTCCTGCATATCCTCATAATATTAAGTTCTTAATTTCTTTATGCTTTTATAAGATTTTCATTCAGTTTAACTCTACTATGATTGTCTCTTTTTACTTGTTATGTATGAACAATAGTATTGAATAAAATATTGGCCAACACGTGCGTATGTTCCGAAGAACGGCTTATAGAACATTGTGCGATACACTTACAGCACGCAATTTACTTTTGTGTTTCCAAACTCGGCCTGTACTCTTGCATGCAGAGATAATACATATGTTCCGCCGATACATTATTCTACGCCTTTTGCACCTGTTGTTTGTAATAAAATTTTTGTTGACCAAGATAAAGTTGAATATAAGATATCATTGAAAAATTGTCGCTACCCATTTACTTCCCATGCAAGTGTGAAACGGAGAAAGAGAGAGAAAGAGAGAGAGACTTATATAACATGATATAATTCTCCATTTCTCTAGGCTGTAAAGAAGAAAATGGCGAATTGCTAAACAATTTCCTAAATCCAGTTGACTACATAACGTATTTAACATGAAATGGCTTAAATTCAGTTATTGTTGCACGGATAGATTTACAAGAACATATTACTGAAGTTGTGGATTGCAAACATAATTGTATGTTGAAAATAGCTGTGAAAGATTGTACGGAAAGAAGGAAAGGTATATTATGTAAGAATTGTACTAACGTAATCTAGAAAACTAAGAACTTTTATACATAGAAAAGAAAGTTTAAAAAAATGAGAATAAAGTCAAGCAAGAAAGAAAGATAAAAATGATTCTATAAAAATTGTAGTAATTGAACAAGAAACGTAACATTGTCTTTATCTACGTCCATTTATACGTCATAAAAAAAGATAGGAACAAAAAAGAATGAAAAAAAACAGATAAAGAATAAGAAAGAAAGAATGGAGGCAAACAATGAAAAAACCAATGAAATACATCTGTAAATAAATAAAAGAAAGAAAAAAAAAGTAAGATGTAAATATCAATAAGAAATCTGGCGTATAAGAGAAAGAAGAGAAGAGTGGGAGGAAAATGGAAACGAACAAATATAAAAATTTGAGAGAAAAAAAAAAAACTAAACAAGAATACCGGAATAAATTATTAAAAAAAATGAAGAACAAACTGAAAGAAAGAAAGAAAGAAAGAAAGAAAGAAAGAAAGAAAGAAAGAAAGAAAGAAGTAAAAAGTAGAACAGGATTATAAAGAAAATTGTGATAAAAAACGAAATAAATTTATAAAGTAATTAACAAATTTAGTAATTTCTAATTTCATAAAGAAAGAAAGACAGCCAGGCAGACAAAGCATGAGAAAAAAACAAGAATGAAACGAAGTGAAAGAAAAAGAAATGAGAATAAAGTCAAGCAAGAAAGAAAGATAAAAACAATGATTCTATAAAAATTGTAGTAATTGAACAAGAAACGTAACATTGTCTTTATCTACGTCCATTTATACGTCATAAAAAAAGATAGGAACAAAAAAGAATGAAAAAACAGATAAAGAAAAAGTAAGAAAGAATGAAGGCAAACAATGAACTCTGTAAATAAATGAATAAAGGATATCTTGAGAAGTTCAAAATCAGACAATAAACCTGAGACAATTTGGCATATACAGAAAGAAGATAATAACTCTAGAATATAAAAAGTAAAGAATATGCAGAAAATATTATACAAAAATAAATCTGAAAATACAAAGAAAAAAAGAAAGAAAGAAATCCATATAGAAATATGCAAAAGTCGTAGTAAGTAAACAAAAAAGAAATCGGTAATAAATATAGTCGGCCCTGCGATATATCCGGTTTATAAGACCGCAACACGCCGCTGGTTTTAATCAAATTTCAGCTATGACTGAACCTAAATATATTAACGCACTGATGAGCATTGCTCACTCTTCCCTTCGGAATATTGGTTATATTTTTCAGCGTTTCACCCAAAGCAAGGCGGGAAACCACTAGCACACAAAGGGTCACAGAGAGTTGGAGCGAGAGCAAATAGGAGTGATAGAGGAAAGGATGAAGAGAAGGATAGTGCATAGATCAAGGAAACTAGAGACGTCGATTGATATTACATTTAAATATTTGGAGATTATAGCTATCAGGAAAACAAGAAAAGGTGAGGGAGTTCCACAGGCGATAAGTGCGAGACAGGAAGCTATTAGAGTAGAAGAGACGTCTATATTTAACAGTTTCGACAGTGAAAGGGTGAGAGCGAGATTTCAGTCTAGCAGGGAGATTAAATTTATGAAGTGTGGGAACCAGCGAAAACAACTCATCGGAGCAGTTACCATGAAAGTATTTATAAGAGGGAGGCGACGGCACGTCTGTGAGAGAGTGACTGCAGACGAGATGCCAGATCATAGACAATTATATTGCGTATCCGTCTCTCGATTTTATCAAGAACCCTGAGACAAACAGAAGGGGCTCCAGACCATATATGGCAGCAATATTACATGCAAGGGCGAATGGTTGATCGACTACAGCCAGAAAAAAATTCCTGGCGTGGCACAGAGAGCCAACTTTCCTTGCGTTGGACGAAGCTCTTGTCTCAACGTATTCGTCCCATCTCAGGTGAGCAGTCAATGTGAGACCGAGTAGTCGCAAAGAGGTCCTTTCGTGAGCGTCACACATTCTAATGGGGTGGGGGAGTGATGTTTCTTTGTGATGAGTGAAGTTTTGTTTTTGAGGCATTAAGTTAACCAGCCAATTCCTGCCCCAATTCACAACCGATTTAAGGCCCTTTTCGAGACAAACGGCCAGGTTAGTTTTTCAGGTACACTAGATTTGTTTTTGAGGCAGGAGTAAATAGTATTGTCGTCCGCGTAGATGCCTACTTGGGAAAATATGACGTCAGGATGATATATATATATATTAACGACATTTTTATGTTTAACATTCTTTATATAGATACAAGTATTTAAGTAAATGCTCTGTTTATAATAACCAGTATTAAATAACATTTACCGGCCTGAATATCCGAGAAATTTTCATAGAAAATATTCGTCCTTTGACAGGATTCGAACCTGCATCCTATACGGAACCGTCATTTACGCTGACGTGCCTTAACCGACTCGGCCACAAAGGAGCGTTCGGTAGGCAAGGTCGAATTTACTGCTTATAAACTTCAATCTTCCATGAATCTCGTACATTCATAACTGCTCATGGCGTATCAAATGTAAACAAATGACGTCATACATTAAGAATTGGACAAAGTCCGACAATTTATTAAAGACATTTTATTTTATATATATATATATATATATATATATATATATATATATATATATATATATATATATATAATTTCGATACATGGGACTATTAGGAATTCGTGGATGGTTGTTATATATATATATATATATATATATATATATATATATATATATATATATATATATATATATATATATATATGTGTGTGTGTGTGTGTGTGTGTGTGTGTGTGTGTGTAATATCACAACCATCCACGCATTCCTAATAGTTCCATGTATTGAAATATATATATATATATATATATATATATATATATATATATATATATATATATATAATTTTATATTTTGTATTTTTTAATATAATTACTCTGTAAGCAACTAGAAAACATAATTTAAGACCAAAAGATTACTAAGAGTTAAAGAACGTATGTACATTAGAATGTACCTGAAATCCAAAATTTGGCTTCATTGGATCCTTGTCAGTGCCATTCGATACATGGAACTATTAGGAATTCATGGATGGTTGCGATATTATGAAGTCTCATGTCATCGTACCTGAGTGTGTAAGCTTACTTTTCAAACTGTGATCACACCAGATAAGGTGCTCTCTCTCAAAATGGAAGGAAGAGAACAAGAAAAACGGAATACCTTTGAAAATACAGAGAACGAATAGGAAGGAAGGAAGGAAGGAAGGAAGGAAGGAAGGAAGGAAGGAAGGAAGGAGTAAAAATAAAAGAAAGAAACGAAGTAAACAAAAAAAAATTATAAAGAAAATCGTGGAAGTAAAACAATAACGAAATGCGTTTATGAAGGAATTAGTTAAATCAAGAACAACTTTAAGAATTTCTAATTTCAGAAAGACAGCCAGAAAGATTGTAAAGAAAAACGGAAAATGAAAGTAAAGGAGAAAAATAAAGAATGAAAATCAAAAGTAAAATTGAATGACGGCTGATGTACTAATAACAAAACCAATATGTAAATAAATAAATCATATTTTAGATGTTGTTTAAAGCAATACATTGACAATGAGATAATTTGGCATATACAGAAATAAGCTAAGAATGGGAGGAAAAAAATAAAGAATATGCACAAAATAAGAAACCAAAGACAAGAACAGCGGAATAAATTTGAAAATATATATAAAAAAAAAAAAAAAATCTAACAAAGATTTAAACATATTCATAGGAAAGTAACTGAAACAAGAAAGTATTTCAAACTTAATGAAGACAAAAATATGTCCATATTTTGGAAAACAGCATTGTAAAAATGGCAACGAATAAAGAGAGAGGGAAGAGAAGATATCTATAAAGAGAAGGAATGAATAAGAAAGAAAGAACGAAGAAAATAAGTAGGAAAACAAAAGAAACCAGAAAGAAAATAATTATGAAATATTCACGGAAGAATGTAAGAATGATAAATGCAAATAAAGGAGAATAAAGAAAAAAAGATAACAATGAAACTGTGATTGAAATTTTCTAATAATATAGATTCCTTTACAATAAGACACTATCCTGGGTATGACGATAAACTACAGCCGACAGGAAGGCCATCTTATCAGGAGGTTTTGAGGAGCTTGGAACCACCTCTTAATTACTGGTATTCCCTGTCTACACTGACCACGGGCGGTAGCAGCTGTTAGGTTCCCAGGTATGGGTAAATACTTAACACCCAAACTTGTGTAAAAATAGGTTTTAATACAAGAAATAATTTGTAAGAAAAATATTAATATCAACAATAATTTTTGAAGAAATTTATTATCAGCAATATGTAATACTAGATGGCACAAAATCCCCGATATATACTAAATGCCAAGACAAAATTACTGTGAAACATATATTGCTAGCGTGTGTAAATTTTTATCTAGTGCTCACAAAATATTACCAAGTGAGCAATTAAAAAAAAAAAAAACTTTTTACGAAAATAAAGCCATCTAAGATAGTAAATTTCCTAAAAGAATTTGGCTCATCCTAGAAAATATGAGTAAATGGTTCAAAATAAATGTGTACATATTACATTTTTTTTAATCAAAATATCGCTATGAATCTATTTCAAGTATTTTGTTGGCATTAAATGGCCCACTGAGGTTGATATGTCATAAAACAAAACAACCAACAATAAAACAATATTGGCATGAAAGCAAACCAAAAGAGGGATTGAAAAATACTCAATAAATTATGTAAATAGAATAGACCAATAGGAAAGAAAAGAAAGAATGCATTACAACAGGCACGCAGAACAGAAATAATAAATAAAATAGGTAAACAATAAGCGATTACGTAGATAAAAGTGATAAACGCATCTGTATTATTAAACATATAAAAAATACAGATAGTTGTATGGAAATAGAATGCTACGAATAATTGACCCGTGTGACAACGCGGTAAATACCTATATGAATGTTTTCTTCGTCCAAAGTTGCTTATAAGGAGAAACAGTCATATCGATTTCTTTCTCCGTCTTCAAATATTTCATCAAGGAGACAGAAAGATTGTAGTGGGATATTTCTGTGAAGATCCTTACGGTGAACAATTTTTATGGTCTGTCTAAGTTTCACTGAAATGCAACGCATTGATATGTAAACGTGTTGGTCTATGATTTTTTTTTCTTCAAAGGAAACAAAATATAATTGGTGAATAAGAAAATGCCTGATGCAAGAATATTGCTTACGAACAGTTGAAAATATCAGCATCGGTTCGTATTATATTTCAGATTTATGATCCTGCGTACATGCTGGTAAATAATTTAAGTACAATGTGGTTCGACCATTAAAATAACTTATTATTGCGAATACTGGAGGCCAAAAGATGAAGTCAATCAGATAGAGAAATAAGTACGAAGTGACTGGGTCAGATCGATAAATATGCACAGAAAAGTATAGATCGATAGATGGGAACAGACTGGGATAGATAGATAAATAGGAAAAGACAAGGAAAGCTTATACATACATACATATATATATATATATATATATATATATGAACAATCTGGGTTAGATATATATATATATGACATATGAACAGACTGTGATAGATATATATATGAATAGACTTGGCTGTGTATCTATATATATATCTCTATCTATCTATCTCTATATATCTACATATATATCTACACACACACAAATATACATATATATATATATATATATATATATATATATATATATATATATATATATATATATATATATATATATATATATATATATATATATAATATCCAGCCAAGTAAGATGAGAACGGATAGAGTACAATTGAAACGTTCGTAATATTTGATTCAAATGCGGGCTCAATACAACGTCGGGCAATATTATTTATTTTACGACATTACACCGAAAACATCAAAATCGATATAAAATTGCAGTCGTGTTTCGATGCCTGTCACCGCATCTCATCAGGCGATTGCAAATTAGTGACGAGTTTTAGATTTAAAAGCAAACAAGTGATGTTGTATGGTTTGTATTCTTTACTGTGATCAAATAATAAAATATTACCAACATTAGATTTAAACTAACCGTAGAATCAAAAATAAATATTTTTTTTCTAAATGAGTCATAACCGGTAGATTGGCAAATAACCGCAGCCAGACAGAAACAATCCGGATGTAAATGGTTACGCAAATTATACATACTAGACAATGATTTGATTGGTTGATCAGAGTGAAGCCTAGAAAATCGCTACACGATTTGCAGGCGTGTTTCGATGTTTATCAATACAT